ACCTCATTTGCTGCTCCCCCATGCACACACTAGCCCTCCCCATCCACCCCGCAGCCTCACCAGGAATCGGGACACGGAGCGATGGATTTTTACCAGCAGGGCGGCACGTGGCTCCGCGTGGTAGTCGCAGTACGCTTCGGCCAGGGCGCTGTACTGCCGGCGGCTCAGGCTGCCATCGTGCGCCCGGGCCAGGCGGACCAGCCCGGCGGCGGCCGCAAACCTCACGGCGGCCGCGTCGGAGCTGCCAAAGTCGGAGCGGTCACCTTGCAGTCTGGGCGAGTCGAGTGGGGACAGGGGTTGGCAGTCTGTGGAGCGATGATGCCAGGGGCGGGGCACACCCGAGAAGCCCCGCTCTCCCTGGATGCCACCCCGCACCCACCCAAAGTCGTCAAAGACGGGGTCTGTGGGGTCGTTGTTCGTCAGCGCCACCACCGCGGTGAGCACCCTCTCCAGCGCGGCATCGTGAGTGGGCGTCAGCTCATGCGGGGCGTGGACAGGCTGAAGGCTTGCGTGAGGCTCTGTGGTGGGGGAGGGTGCCGGGTCTGGAGGCTGGGGCGTTGGCCTGGGGCAGTGCTTCTAGGGATGGCTTTGGCCCCACACTCCCCTCTCCTGGGGGAGGTATGTCCTTGCAACCCCCTGGAAGAAACACAGTTTGCTGTCCAACCCCCCTTGCATATATGCGCAGGGGCTTGCCTTGACAATGAGGGCCTTGATGGCCACCTGGGGGCTGGGTGAGTCCCACGACAGCCCGGTCTGGGAGCTTGCCGCATCCAGGGGTCGGCCCCTGGGTTGACGGGCGGGAGGACGGCATGTGCATGGTTTGACTGCCGGCCATGAAACCCAACAACGACGCACACTGACACCACTGCTTGCCAGCGATCTTGACACTGCCAGGAGACCTGGTCTGGGTGAAACAGCGCCTGGCAATCCCTTGCTTGTCTGGACTCCCCCAAGCTCCCTCACGTGTTCCCAGGACGGATGTTTCAGATCCCCAGTACCTGCTCAGGTCGGCCGGGAGGAGCTCGTCAAGGACCAGCGTGACGAAGCGAGGCGCCAGGCCATCGAACGCCTGGGGTGCTGACCTGCCAATGCTGGAGATCACCTTGAGCCTCTGCTTTGACGGGGCGGAAGAATGGGAATCTGAAGGTTCTCCGAGCAAAAGAGCTGTGCCCAACGACCACACCCAATCCTGGGCATGCCTGTAGATTGTGTGCAAGCTGACGATGCAACCATGCCAGTCACTCTTTTGAGGGCCGAGCTCATCGCGCTTGCTCACCGTCGCCAGTCTCTTGTGATCCTCCAGGGTGCCCGGAATGGAAAGCACGACTTCCTCCCCCAAGGCGCTCAACATGGTCCTTGCCTCCTCCTGTGGCAGCAGGGCCACGGCCGCGCGTACTGCCGACTTGACCCCGGCCACCGTGCCATGCAGGCATATCTCCCTCAGGCTGGCCTTGACCTGACGGCAGGGGTTGAGGCGGATGCGTCGAGGAGGCCGGACTCGCTGCAGGACCAATCTGCCGGACAGCGCATCAGCACCACCTTGGCTAGGTGTGAGGGTGCTGGATTCTGACAATGATTCAGCTTGCGCCACCATAGAGGCGATTCGCAACGGCCTTGCCTCCCGGACCCCGGCACAGCTGACTGTACCTGTGGGTATGCGTCAGCAGGGACCTCCAGTTCGCGTCCCGCCTGGGCCAGGATCTGCGCCCCAAACTCTGCCACCTCAGCATCGTCGGACGCCAGCAGGGCGAGAAGGGGAGCTGAGTGAGCGCCCAGTAGCCGGGGCGCAAAGGCCGCAACCCCCCTGATCAGATCTCGGACTGGAGCGAGGAAGAGGAGACGGGTGTTGCAGAGGGCTGTCATTCGTCACTGATCAGATGCAAGGACTTCCCCGGCAGGTGCCAGCCTTCAGTCCCAGGCGCCAGCACAGATAAGGAGCCCCAGGCCAGGCCCCCATCCGCTGCCCTCCGTTGCACTCACATCTCTCGTCAGCCTCCTGGCCCTCCAAGGCCTGTCCGAGCACCTCGGGCGAGATGAGGTTCGGCAGGGCTTGCATCGCGAGCGCCCGTGCCACATCAGCGTGCCGCGTGCCGACACGCTGTGTCGGGGGAGCAAGGGGTGGGAGCGCCGCTTGGGTGCAAGAGGGCTCTTGACACAGCGGGATCAAGGTCCGGACGGCAAGAGATGCTCGTCAATCCCACGCAGTGGTCATCATCCCGTTCCGCCAACCCCCCTTCCGCCACACCCCCCCTCCCCGCTTCCACACATCATTCGGCTCCACCCACCCGGATGAGCTCGGCCTGCGCCTCCAGTCCCTGGCTCAGGGTTGAGCGGCTGGAGCTCAGGGTGGCGAGGCTGCGCATCACCGCCCGTTCCCTGCTTTCCAGCATCGCGACGATGCTCTCGGCCGCCTTGCCGTGCGTGCCGAGGGCCGCAGCCAGACGCTGGGCGTGCTGAGCCAGCGGGGACGCGGCGCGCACCTGACCCAGGGGGTTTGGCGCAGATGAGGCGCTGCTGTGCTGGCTCGCAGCCGCCACCCCCCGGGCGAGGCGGGCCTGGAACTCGCACTTGGCCCCCACCACGCCTCCGAACGCGGCCCGCTGGGCCGGGTCTGCAGTCGGAGTGGTTGAGGTGGGCTTTTCGGTGACGAACGCAGGGGCGGTGCGAACCGGGCCTCACTTTACTCGAGGGAGAGTCACGCGTGCGCCGCATGCGCCCCACTGTCAGGTGCGTGCGCTCCGCACCAGCGATCCCACGCCCACGATACGGGCCCCCTTCCCTTCACCCCCTGCCCCGCCAGCCAGCTCACCCAGGACACTCCACAGCCTGGCCCACCACTTGGCCACGGCCCCAGGCCCCTGCCTGGGGTCAAAGAGGCCGTGCAGGCAGAGCTGCTCCGTCGCGGCGGCCGCCAGCTCGGCGTCCTGCCGCGTCGCGGCGCACGCCACGCACAGCAGGACCGCCAACCTGAGCACCGGCTCGCGCGCGTCCGGGGACGCCTCCTCGCTGCGCCCGCGGCACAGC